CTCAATTACTTTCCTGGGAACACCGGGGATGTCGGACGGTTGCCACGCAAACACGTCGACGTTCGCCTGCAGGAAAGCAACGAGCGCGCTTTCCTATTTAGGGTCGAGAGTGGCACTGATGGTGAAGGTACCACCAGTGCCGTCCTCCTTGGCGGACACCTTCTTGGTCTCAGGTGAAGCTGCCATTGCCTTCTTACACTTGCCGGTGGAGGTCGATGGTGCGTCCTCGACGGTAGTGCAGCACTCCGAAGAGGTGCGCTTGCCGGAGTGGGCATCAGAACTCTTGCCGGACTTAGTCTTCTTCTTCCCCCCGGGAGCTTCAGCGGCAAGTGATTTGCGATCTGTTGCGGCTGCTGCTTCCCGGTAGATCTTGTCGGCGCAGATAAGAGCATCCTTCTTGTCGCCAGGGACAGAGATGACACTTATCGGGCCTGGCATCTTCAGCATGTTGTAGGCATAGTGAGAGGCTGCCATGAATTTGGCTAGTGCTGAACGGCCAAGGATTCCATTGTAAGGTAATGGAAAGTCAGCAACATCAAACGTAACCCTCTCAGTCCTGAAGTTCAACTCGCTGCCAAATGTTACCGGCAACGTGATCTTTTCCTTTGGCTTGCTCCTTCCCGGATTGATTCCTTGAAATGTGCCGGTTTCTTCGAGCTCGCTGTCAGGGATTTGGAGTTTCTGGAGCACCGCGAAGGAGATCAGGTTCAGGCCGGCCCCGCCGTCAACTAACATCTTAGTGACCTTGAGGTTGCGGATAGTTGGTGAAACCAACATCGGCAAGCACTCGACCGCAGTTATGCGATCAGGGTGGTCCTCAATATCAAAGATGATAGGCGTGCTGGACCATTTCAGAGGCTTGCGTGACTCGACGGGTGGCTCTGCTGCGTTGATTTCACGCACCCATTGCTTGAGCTGGCGGTGTGAAGTATGCAGAGAAGCACCGCCGTCAACGCACAGGACCTCTGTGGCTTTCTGGAACTCCTGCTCATCAGTCTCCTCATCATCCATGTCTTCATCGTCGTCGTCATCTTCATCCTTGTCGCGGCCGTGAGGAGGTCTGTCTCCTTGCCGCTGCTTGGCCTTGCCGCGGCGTCCTCCTCGGCCGGGACGTTTCTTGCCGGATCCTCCAGCACCTTCCTGGGCTTTCTCCTTGTCGCGCTGCTCGTATTCAGCTTTCTGTTGCTCAACAAGCTGCTCGACCTTCTTGCAGCTCTGGAGGTCATGGCCTTTGGTACGGTGGATCTTGCAGTACTGTTTGTTGGTGCCGTCCTGCTTGTCGGCGACCGCCACAGCCTCTGCGGTAATCTCCTTGCCGGAGTCACCAGCTTTAGCTTTCTTGGCGCCACCACCGTTGCCGGACTGCTCAACAACTAGCACCTCTTTGCCTTTCTTCTTCCTGTTATTTCGCCGCCGGTTTTTCCTTGCCGGGGCTGCATCCTCACTGTCAGATCCTCCTGCTCCTACATTTTCTCCGGGGAGTCTCCTCCCTTCCTCAACACGTGCACATTTGTCGGCCAGGGCATATAGCTCACTGACGTCTCTGATCTTGCACATCGCCATCTCCTCCCGCATCCTGCGATTCCGCACGTTCTGATGGAACGCGCTGATTACCGCGGCAAGGTGGACATCTGGGATGTTGTGCTGTACGCTGCTGAATCTCTGAATGTACTTGCGCAGGGGCTCTCCTTCCTTCTGGGCGAGCAGATGAAGGTCACTCTCTTGGCCATGAGGCTTGTGGCCGCCTGTGAAGGCGCAGACAAACTGATGGCATAGATCGGCCCAAGAGGATATGGAGTTGTCCGGCAAGTGCATGAGCCAGGATCTGACGTTGGGTTTGAGCACCAGCGGGAAGTAGTTGACAAGGATCTTGTCGTCCCGTCCCCCGGCAGCCTGCACCGCAATGGTGTAGATGCTGAGGAACTCCGACGGATGCGTCTTGCCGTCGTACTTCTCTGGTACGTCAGGCTTGAAGTTCTTCGTGCTGGGCCACTAGACTTGCCACAGCTCACGAGTGAACGCAGGGCAACCTACCGCGTATGGCAAGTCGCCTGGTTCCCCTGGCGCATGCATGTCAACAGAGGGCCCAGCGCGCTTGTCGGATTGACGCCGCGCTTCTCTTCGGCGCTCGATGCGAGTACGAGCGTCTTCTTGCTGTCGATCGTGAAGAACTTGGCGCTGATCGCGACGAACTCGTGGATCCAACGATGCGGTGGAGTCGCTGTCGAGGTGGATCCGGCGAGTCGGCGATCTTGGCCTTCGGGGTGGTGATTGCATGGTGGTTGCACCCCCACCAGTTTCGTCGCCACCGGCTCGCGCCTGGCAACCCTGCCGCGGCAGCGACGTGCTCGGCTGCCGCGGAGTGTCGCCGTTGGCGTAGCCAATGAGACTCTGAATGGTGGCCCTCCATTCGTCGATCTTGTCCGACGTCGGAGGGTAATCCAGGAGCAGTTGAGCTCGCGCCAAAGCTTCTGCTGGAGTGGTGGGTGGCAGTGGCGGACGGCGCGAGGAGCGGGATATGCTCGGACTTCTAACTATGTTAGAAGGAGCATTATCCCATCCGGGCGACCGTGTCTCGCTCGTGCTGGCACGTTGGCGCGTATGCTGGCCTTGAGCGCCCCGGGATCCACCAGCTTGATCTTGGCCCAACAAACGTATGGTACTGCGAATACCATGACGCTGTCGGTCCTGCGCCTCCTGAGATGGGCGCGGAACAAGCACGGACGTCGAGGTCTGCGCCGCCTTGCCCTTGGACCTGGCAGCATCGTGAGCTTCCTCGTCGACGTCCGTCCTTCCGCCGGCGTCTACCCCACCACCCGCTTGCTCCAGTGGTGGTGGAAGTGACGTGGACGGAGCAGCTGCCTCCGAAGCCTTCTTCTTCGGTGGCATGTTGATGAAGGAAAAAGAAAATCTAGCTCGTGTGAACGCCGGATCAGGTTCACGCAACCTCGACGCCCCCTACCTGGCGCGCCAAAGATGTCGGGGAAACTGATCCATGAACACCTATGGGGACCGGCGGACCGAGCCCCTTTCGGTTCGGCGGGGGGCGGAGGTTGCACGAAGAGCGGATCGAGGCGAGGCACACGAGCAGTTTACCCAGCTTCGGAGCTCTCCGGAGAGATAACAGTCCTACTGCTGCTTGTCTGATTCTATTATCTTCTTGCTCCAGAGAGCTAAGTGTTTTTCTGGCTCCCGAATGAACCCGAACCCTCTCTACGTTGCGCATGGGCCTCCTTTTATACGCTAAAGGGGTCACCGACAGGTGGCAACGTAGACAAGGGTAAAAATGTAAAAAGTGAGGTGGTTGGTACAGCTACCTGTACAGTGTACCCTACCTAACCCTGACGGCAGGGGACAAGGGCATTAAATGCCCGTCTGTGTCGCCCAAACAGTGCAGAAAGGTACCGTCAGGGACGCCACCACTCGCCATGATGGCAGTCTTGTCAGCTTCGCATGCCACCGTGCACCGCTGGCTGCATAGCCTCTCGCCACGCGCGCCTGGAAAGGCCCCCGGAGCGACACGTTGGTGGATGCGCTGGAGCGTGGGTACAGAGTGGCCGCCTGCCGTGGCAAGCGCCTTGCCGCGGCCGTTGTCTTGCCGGGTCCGGAAGCTTGTCGCTCACCGTGCCTTGCCGGGACGCGCGGCGCGTCGCGGTAAGTCCCTTAAAAATGTCTTGGTTGGCCTTCCTGGCAAGCTCCTCTTGCCGGGGCCTTGTCTCCTGAGCTTGAATACTTTGTTCTTGAATGGCTCCAAAAGAACCACGGAGGACCTTGGCGGTCACCCGACAAGCCTTGCCACGGGGTGCTGCAACTGCCCGTGCACACGTTCGGGATACTAGGGTACCCCTACTCTAGTACACTGACACTAAATTTTTTGAGAAGCTAACAGTGATATTCCTGAGTGTTTTTACAGAATGAAACGGTATCTCTGTTTTATTATTTAAATTGATGTTAAAACAAACTGACAAGTTCGTTCACAGGATAGAAACTCCCACATTAACTGGAGGCAAGAGAAAACTATGTACAACAGTTACCCTGGTTGTGTTTTAGCAGTGCCAATTAAGTAGAAGTAGATCATGATAGCTTTTTTTTCGAAAAGGGGGGACTCCCCGGCGTTTGCATCAGAGCGATGCATACGGCCACATTTATAAATAAATAAAGTAGTTCAATAAGGTCTTGCAATGTGCTGCAACAAAGGAGACTGGCTCACAAAGAGCTAGCAAAATAAAACAAGGCCCAAAAGCCACAACCGGCTGGCATAATATAGAGAGATAGGTAAACTAATCGCCTATCCTATTACATGACCGCCATCCAAACCGGTTGAAGATATCCCGCGCTACCATCTCTCACCGGACAGATCCAGTAACCAAACGCGCCCTGGCCTCCGTCGGAGTGAGTAATGACCACATACGGATTAGCGCAGTAGCCCGGAATAAAACCTGCAAAAATGAATAGTTGTTGTTCTGTTAAAAGCCAAATCATTTCTGCAGTTCCAAATTGCCCATAACAACGCACATGCTCCTACTCGAATTTGTCTAGCTGTTTCGGCCTCTATACCAACAAGCCGCGTTCCAAAAAACGACCTGACCGAATTCGGAGGAGTAATGTTAAAGGCAATTTGCACCGAGCGCCACAACACCCTCGCCAACGGGCAATCAAAGAAAAGATGCTTGATAGTTTCATCCCGATCACAGAAACTACACCTAGTAGAACCTGTCCAGTTGCGCTTAATTAAATTATCTTTCGTTAGAACGACTTCTGTAGCTCATATGTTTTAATTTATGAGTATGAAAGTTCTATAGCAAATGAAACTCTATTTCTGAAAATACATATGTATTTTCTGATGCATAATTGTGCAATCATGTGGGCAATTCAGATAAACCCTAGACCTTAGTTCCAAGTAATTTAGATGCACTATTAATCATAAATTCATTAACCAAAATAAATCCATATATAAGTAAAGTGCCATATTTACTAATTAGCTTCTCATATGTATCTAGTTGATGCTGATGAAAAGGGGTGGAGAGTTGATCTATGCTGGGCCAGTTGGACACCATTCATGTGAAGTTATCCAGTATTTCCAGGTAATTATTAATCTTAATTTGTCCTTACACAAAAGAACTAAGTACATGCACATATAATTTGTATCGCACATTTATATGTGATGCAAGTCAATTTAAACATATCATTTACCTGACCTAATTATATTTTGTTTGCATCCCTTTCTATTATGTACTATTCTGAACCCATTCTCCAGTCCACATGATTTTGCAATCTACATAATACATGAAGGGGCAAGCAATATTAATCACAGAAGGCTATACTCAGTTCACCACCTGCCTGTGTTATACAAACTGGTGAAATTATTTTCTTTATTCTTTCTAGGCAATACCTGGGGTTCCCAGGATCAAGGACAAGTACAACCCATCAACATGGATGCTAGAAGTTACTTCTACATCTATGGAACTTCAACTGGGAGTAGATTTTGCACAAATGTACAGGGAATCATCAATGTGCAAGTAAGTCAATTTCGAAGAAACGTTGCTTGTAAAACAGATTGTAAGTTTTGATCAGAATACCTGAGAGAAACAAAACAGGCTTGTGGAACTCAAAAATGAGTTTTGATCAGAGTGGAATATAAGCATGGGTTACCATAGCATACTTAACAGAGATACCATTTAGTCCTTAAATTTCTGTTAGCGTAATATTCATGCTAACCAGTATGTAAATTTTGTGACCAAAGGGACAAGGACATGCTGGTGAAGCGCTTGAGCATACCAGTTCCTGGTACAAGTGACCTCCATTTCCCAACCCAGTTTCCGCAGAAGTTTCGGGAGCAATTCAAAGCTTGCTTCTGGAAGCAGTGTTTGTCGTATTGGAGAACTCCTTCTTACAACCTGGTGCGGATGGTATTCATAACAGTGGCCTGCATTTTCTTTGGTGTGTTATTCTGGCAGAAAGGCAACTTCAACCGCATGTACGTAAGCCATCTCTTAATTATGCATCTTAACTGATGCATGTATGATGGAAGCATATGATTGAAGTTGCTTGTTTTGTTTGAGGGTAGAAACGACCAGCAAGGTCTCATCACCATATTGGGGTGCATGTATGGAACCACTCTGTTCAGTGGCATCAACAACTGCCAATCAGTGATGCCTTTTGTCTCCATTGAACGCTCCGTCGTGTACAGGGAGAGGTTCGCAGGGATGTACTCTCCTTGGGCCTACTCCTTTGCGCAGGTTCTACTAATCACATGAAGATTACTAGCTTCAGATAGATTTTGTTACTACTATGTCTAGATATTGAGTTATCTTTTTTTGGGATAGGTTGCCATGGAGATACCTTATGTGCTGGTGCAGGTAGTGATCTTCATGTTGATAGCATATCCGATGATAGGGTACGAGTGGACAGCAGCAAAGTTCTTTTGGTTCATGTACACCATGTTGTGCACGCTGTTCTACTTCCTCTACCTGGGAATGATGATTGTGTCGCTCACCCCCAACATCCAAGTCGCATCCATACTTGCATCCATGTTCTACACCCTACAGAACCTCATGTCCGGCTTCATCGTGCCTGCGCCTGTAAGTAAAGCCATCTTAACTCTAGTACTAGTATTAAGTATATATACCATTTCCATTAGAGATCAAAATAATGGTGCTTACAAAAAATACATAAACATATGGCAGCAAATACCAAAATGGTGGATATGGCTCTACTACATCTCCCCAATGTCATGGACGCTCAATGTCTTCTTCACCACGCAGTTTGGAGATCACGATGACATGATGATCGATGTATTTGGAGAGACCAAATCCGTCGCAGCATTTATGAGGGACTACTTTGGTTTTCGCCGTGACCTACTGCCACTGGCAGCAGTGGCCCTGGCAGCATTCCCTGTCCTCTTTGCCGTCCTCTTTGGTTACAACATCTCAAAGCTCAACTTTCAAAGGCGATAGACAAACAAATTTTCATAGTAGTAAAACAGTAGCACGATATAGAATAGATATTACAAACAGTAGCACGTATCTCTGTGCTAAAATTGAAAGCCCGAGTTAGCTTACCAACACGAAAAGGTCAATGTATGTATTTTTGTGTAAATGGGATATATAGCAGAACAAAATTCTAGTAGTAGCCAGTATTTGAGATGTGTGATATTGTCGTTAACAGACTCTTAGGCGCTTTCACTCTAGCCTGTCTCACTTATTATTATTATAAATCATTTGTTATTATTGTGAATAAATTTGCAATACAAGTTTGTGGTGATGAAAAACCACAACGCACAACCCTGATAATTTTAATGAGCAGAGTAGAATTGGTATCAACTGATCTGTGAAGGTTTTTATTGAATCTATTTATAGCTATACAGTTTGAGCTTAGAGTACTATATATATAGCCATGTAGTTTACCTCATTATATAAGGGGTTTTCTATATATGTTTTACACCTGTACATGTATATATACTGACCTATGGCCTCATAAAAATACAAGTAACATACTCCCTCCGTCCCAAAATATAAGAACGTTTTTTACACTAGTGTAGTGTCAAAAACATTCTTATATTTTGGAACGGAGAAAGTATTTCCTAACATTGATATTAGAGCCTTGTGATTTTTTTCCGCCACCGCTTCTTCTCTGAACGGCTGCCGCTGTGTTCCTCTCCTCCCGATCCTCCATGTGCCGGGTCGCTGCTCCCTTGCGAGAGCTTCATCCGGACACCCGTGCGCTCGAAGCCTGGCCTGATTCTGTGACGCCCATCTGCCTGTGGAGGCAAATTTGACTATTTTGACCTATGGACGAAATCAATTCACAAAATGAACTGGGTGTGAAACTATTTCACACCCCTGACCTTTTTGTGTAGCGCCCACGACGCCGACGCCACACCCTACCGTGCAGCACCTAGCTAGCGGGTGTTGCACGCTAGTCCACCGTGGCAGCCCCGGGCCCCGCACCCAGCTGTGCAACGCCTCGGTGCTAGGCGCCACACAGCTAGGTGCGGGGCCCAGGGCTGCCACGGTGGACTCCCGTGCAACGCTCGCCAGCTAGGCGCTGCACCGTAGGGTGTGGCGCCGGCGTTGCGGGCACTACACAAAAGGGTCATGGGTGTGAAATAGTTTCACATCTAGTTCATTTTGTAAATTGATTTCTTCGACAGGTCAAAATAGTCAAATTTGCCGCCTGTGAAGTGTGCCTGCATGTGACTTGCTTTGCTCACCTGCTGCTCCTGCACCACCCGTGAAGGGTGTGACGTGTGTGTGCTCGCTTAGGTGACGTCATCAGCCAACACAGCCGGTCCAGGTCAAACCTGACCACTAGGACCCACATGTCATACACAGAGGGTTAAACATAGATTAAAATAACTAAAAGAGGTTCATAGTCAAAAAAGGCGCACCTAAGCGAGCGCTTAAGCGCACCGCACCTAGGCTCTAGGCGTTGGTAAAATGCATTGCGCATAACTACGCTTAATTTGTACATAACTGCGCATAAGCATGCGCTTTGTTCAGTAAAGTGCAAGGCGGTGGCAAAACGCACAATTAACGCCTGGCGCTTTCTTGAACTATGAAGAGGTTAATTAGCAGGCGAACCCCATATGTTAGTGACTAATCTTAATTATTAAATTAAGTTTAACTAGACAATGATTTAATTAGCAAGTGGGGCCCGCCTGTTAGACATTGGAGCTGCCCAATCAGAACGGTTGACTGGTTAACCCAGTCAACTAGGCCCCTGGGACCCACTGGTCAGTGACCCAGGGAAGCCCACGTGTCCGGCCAGGTCAGTGGCGCCGGCGACTAGACACCGGCGACCATATACGTGGCGGAGGCCTCGGGTTGGCGTCAGAAATCGCCTACGGTGGCCCGTTTTGGACGCGATTTGCACCTACGGCTTCGTGAGGCTCGCGTGCATCTAGGGGTGGGGCTGCCCGTGAGATGGCCGGAGTCATCGCCGGAGTCGAGCTTTGCGGACGGTAGTGCACGGTTAGGCTTGGGCGCAGCGTTATGGCAAGCGAGCGAGTAAGCTGGGCGGCTAAGCATCAACTATCAGGCACGGGGAGCACGTCGATGCTACTAGACCGAGTCGTAGGGGCTCGGGTGCGCGGAGCTCGACACTCGCGGGTGGCGCTGACACGACACAAATTCAAGGGGGGATAGAGGGGAAAGCGAGGGGAGCTCACGGTGAGCCTGTAGGTGCGCTTAGCAGGCTCAGGGGAGGCCTGTGGTCGACAAGTCTGTTAGAATATATAGTTGTAATCTCAACCTCCTTCCTTCTCTTGTATTCTACCCAAACACTTTCTGTCATAACCTTGTACGTCAAGCCAGGCTTCGGCCACGCATCAATATAAACTACCACACGGCTCCCTCGATGGAGTGGGAACGCTTCATATCTTTCATGGTAATCAGAGCCACCTCTTCTCATACATCTAGCCACAATCCAAAACCCTAGAAACCACACATCATCGTCTCCATGGCTTCCTCCGCCGGCGTCTCCCTCAACCTTGGATCGCCGCCGTCTGAGAAGCTCGCAAGAGGTAATTTCATCCTCTGGAAGACGCAGGTCCTCCCAGCCCTGCGAGGCGCGCAGGTGACGGGGCTCCTGGACAACACCGATGCCGCTCCACCCAAGATGGTGGAGATCACGAAGGCAGACAAGACCACGGCCCTAGAGCCGAATCCCATATACGGACCCTGGATCGCCAAAGATCAGCAGGTTCTATCATACCTTCTCAATTCCATGTCTCCAGAAATTCTTGCACAAGTTGTTGGGAAAGATTCCACCTTTGAGCTCTGGACGACGGTGACAAATCTCTTCGCCTCACAATCTCAGTCTCGGATTACTAATCTGAGAATCTCCATCACCAATACCAAGAAGGGCTCGATGTCAAGCTTGGCGTATATGGCGAAGATGAAAAGTCTTGGGGATGAACTAGCTGCTGCAGGTCGTCCCGTATCTGATACGGAGATGGTGGACTATATTCTGGCCGGACTGGACCGCGACTACGACCCCGTGGTGGCGGCGATCGGCGCTGTCAAAAACATCATCACAGCCGACGATCTTTTTGCCCAGATTGCTGCCTTTGATCAAAGGATGGAGATGTTAGGCGACTCATCTTCAGGCGGGTTCTATTCATCCGCTAATGCGGTCTACAGAGGCCGTGGCCAGTCCCGTGGCAGATCTCGCGGGCGTGGAGGAAGAGGCCATGGCCGTGGTGATCGTGGTGACCGCGGTGACCGACAATCGTCTTCCTCGAATGGAGGAGGCGGATTCAGAGGCCGTCCTCGACAGCAACAGCAACAGCAGGCTCGTGAGCAACAGCATGACTATCCAGAATGTCAGATATGCTACAGACACCATCCAGGAGGTGCACGAGTTTGCTGGTGGCGTTATGAAGAAAACAACCAGGAAGAAAAGCAAGCGCATGCAACCTCCTATGGCGTGGACACCAACTGGTACGCCGACAGTGCAGCAACAAACCACATCACAGGTGAACTTGACAAGTTGACGATGCGGGAGAAGTACAATGGAGGCGACCAAATTCGCACGGCAAGCGGTTCTGGTATGGATATCACACACATTGGCAGTTCAATTGTTAAAACCCCCGTGAAAAATTTACACTTGATCAATGTCTTGCATGTTCCTCAAACCTCTAAAAATCTTGTTTCCGTTCATCGATTCACTCTTGATAACAATGTTCTTATTGAGTTCTATCCTTATTTTTTCTTGGTTAAGGACTTGAAAACAAGGAGAGTCATTCTTAGAGGACGGTGCGTGGGAGGACTCTACCCACTCATATCATCATCATCATCATCATCTTCATGGTCCAATAAACAAGCAAATATTGTCACCAAGCTATCTACATCAAGGTGGCATAGTCGTTTAGGTCATCCATCTTCAGTCATAGTTAGATATGTTCTTAGCAAAAATAAACTCTCTTATGAGCCTAGCAGTGAGTTAGTTTGTGATCCGTGTCAACAAGCAAAAAGTCATCAATTACCTTACCCAATTTCTACTAGTGTGTCTACTGCCCCTTTACAACTTATCTTTTCAGATGTATGGGGGCCAGCTCCTATTTCAGTTGGTAGATTTTCCTATTATGTAAGTTTTATTGATGACTATAGTAAATTTACTTGGATTTATCTGTTGAAAAAGCGATCTGATGTATTCCAAGTTTTCCTCAATTTCCAAAATCTTGTTGAACGCAAACTGAACTCTAAAATCATTGCTATGCAAAGTGACTGGGGTGGTGAGTATGAAAAACTAAATTCTTTCTTTCAAAAGCTTGGCATATCACACCATGTATCTTGTCCTCATGCTCACCAACAAAATGGATCCGCTGAAAGAAAGCACCGTCACATAGTTGATATGGGGCTTGCCTTGTTAGCAAATGCTTCCATGCTGCTTAAATTTTGGGATGAAGCATTCTTAACTGCTACATATCTCATCAACTTGCTTCCAAGTAAAGTTATCAAACTTGAAACACCCATTACACGACTTCTTGGTGTCACACCCAACTATACATCTCTTCGTATTTTTGGTTGTGCCTGTTGGCCCAATCTTAGGCCTTACAACACACGCAAACTCGCTTTCCGCTCAAAATGGTGTGTCTTTTTAGGCTATAGCCCCGTGCATAAAGGGGTTAAGTGCCTTGATGTTCCTACTGGTCGGGTGTATATATCCAGAGATGTTGTATTTGATGAGTCCGTGTTTCCCTTTGCATCCCTTCATCCTAATGCTGGTGCACTTCTCCGCAAAGAAATTCTTCTTCTTCCTTCACATCTTCGGTCTTTTGATCATGGGGGCGACAACAATTGTACTAACCAATGTGATGATATTCCTGCTGGTACTAGTCTTTCTCTTATGCCTGTGCAGGTCCCTGGAGAAAACGGTGCTCAAAATGACCAAGATCTCGAAAATATGGCTGATTTTGATCCTATATTTCATGCTGAGGAAGGAGACGAAGCTG